CAGTGGGCGGAATCTGAACTCGTCTTTGACGTTGAAAACACAACGTTCGAATCAAATCTTTATAAAAAAAAAAAATAAAGTTATAAGAAAATTAGTAATCAAGAGAGGATTCTCGTGTTGTGTAATCCGAGAAGGCGGATGAAGTTTTCCTCGCGACAAAACACCAGAAACACGTGGCAAAGAAACTCGATGACCCATTCCCAGAGAAGATATTTCCCCGAAGACGAACATGTTTCTCTACTGAATGATTTATCAAGGTAAACGTGTTAAAAAACCTCCAAAGAAAACCGCCAAGTTGTAATTATGTTTGACGAAGAAACAAGAGACTCGAAAATTATGTGCGGGCACGATTCACACAGAAACGAATATAAATAATATTCGATTTATATACAAACATTGATTTACGAAACCTTTTATTTCACATATGACGTTTATAGTTGTTTACAAGAATATATTTATAGTATTTTCTCTCTCGCACACTCTCGGCAGAGAAAATCTCAGAGCGCGCTGAGTATCGTCGTTTTCAACGGACGATATTGCAAAGTAGTTTCGCGTTTAATTCTGCGGATAATTAGTCTTACTCTAAATATAAATAAATATACAAGATGAAGATCGCTCGTAAACTCACGCGTAAACATCCTGTCATAAGGTTGTTCTTCATCGCTCTGACCTTTCAGATGAAAATCAATGTTTTGCGAATAGGTTTTGCTCGCGGGGAGTGAGCGCTAATTCCACAACACATACTCTACATGAAATCGGCGATCTTCTACAATACAGGATAATCACGGTATATTGATTTCCATGTCAGGATGCAGATTGAAATTACTGGTGAAATTACTGCGTCCATTTCCCCATAGAACATGTTAATTCGAAATCCTTTAATCGTACCACTTACACTGCGCAGTCATTTAATCTGACATTATCAATAGTGTATATACACGTGTAGATACGTATATGGTAAAATTTACAAACTAATGATTAAAATATTAAAAAATATATTTCAAATATTGAGAATTGTTTTAATTAATATTTACACATTTAATGATTAATTCCGAATTGGTTTTTAAAATGAATATGCAACCGAACGCGCGCATCAACATCTGTTCAACATGTGTTCAAGATTCTGTATTTTGAAATTAAAAAAAAAAACAATTCGGACACTTTTTTACGTTATTTAATAATTAATTTCTTTAATAAACGTTCGTGGCTATTGGAAAATTTATTTGTTAATTATAAACAAATGTTTGCAATTCTCTCGTCATCTTAAAGATTCTCTTGATCATTTCGCGAAGCCCTTGAGAAAGCTACGTATAGGGGCAAGGCTGGGACAAGGTGGAAGAGAGAAAGAGTAGCACGCATGTCGCGCACGACAGTGCCTCAGTGCGTCGGACAGAATCGACGGTAAAAACGTATACGAGGGGATTGAAACGAGCAGGCAAACCTTTACCCCCCGCTACGAATTACCGTTGCTCTTAGCCTGTAACCGCGTCGGGGCATTTAATGCTACACCCGGCATAACACACCTCTTCTTGTCCTGCCGCGCGGGGGGGTTCTCCCATCCAATTCTCTCTTCAACCTTCCTAGCAGGAAATACGATAGGAAAGGCGCCGCCGGTGAGAGATGCAGAGGTCCGATGGGATCTCCCTTTCGCGACAGATTCGCCAGACACGTCTCGGTCTCGTTGTTTCTTCGCATTCCTCCAATCTCTTTCTCGATCGAAATAGCTTTGCTTCGCTCTGAACACATTGTTTTATCGTTTTTGGAAAAAAAAACTCTTTTTTTGCGTCACGAGACGCCCGTGAAAGGGTTGTTGTCGCGATCAACACAAAATTCCGAGATTAGATTCCGACATTCTGTCTGAGAATTTGATTTGCAATGCAGTGTTGTTAATTAATAAATGAAGTATCTTTAATTTCGTAAAAATAGGATAGAGTTTACGACACATCCCGTTACATTTGATGAATCAATACGCAACATTGTGTTTGTTGTTCTACGCTCGATATTATTCTGCCGCCCGCGCGAAAAAAAAACGTGATTTGATTCTCTGAGAAAAATGAAACATAGTTTTGATTATCTTTGCGATTCTCTTTCTCTCTGCGCGATATGGAAGAAGGCAGAATAAATGTGATATATAAAAGCGCAAATGGGCGTTTCGTGTGTGATAAGATTGACGATAATAAACGCGCTGGTTCATTTAGTTCTGATCGATTTTCGACGAGATACATTTGCAGGTCGGTCGGCCGATATCTTGCAGAGAGAGAGAGAGAGAGAACCTTTCCTTAGAGTGATAGATAACAAGTTCCCCACACGATATAAGCGACAGTGCGGAAAACCATATATATATGTACGATTTCGCTTAGAAACAGCTTGCAAGCGAAACAAAAGATTAAGTTTTTTCGGCAACGAGACGAAAACGTTGTTTTTATAAGTATCTTATAAAATTGTTTATCGCTGACTAAATAAACTACTAATTGAGAAGGAAACAAAAAATTATAATTAATTAACGCAAGAAATGGTTCGATGTCAGCGCTGATACTGCCAGCTCTTTCGACCTTATATAAATTTAAATTCTTCGAGACATTGCGTCTTTTAACGTTTTCTTTCGTTCCGTGTTAAGAGACACCTATAAGACACTCCTCGTGTTATCCAGCGCCTTGATATCAGATTATAAAGCACTTAAGGACCACGGGGAGGCATCGTCTTGACGTCTAACTGTGTCACTGCGATGAGAAGATCCTGAAAAGAGATGAGAGACCTTATGAACTGATTCTTCCGGACACATTCCGGAACATATATGTATATATATATATTAGAACATATATATATATTAGATATATAAAACTGATATAACACACTTCGATATTGTGTCTCCTGAGTTCCTGAAAAATTTAATGAATCTTCAAATAAGCGAACGTAATAAATAAGTTATGAGACATCTTTGTCTAGGATTCGGAAAGAAAGATCTGACCCAGTATATACGTTCGCGGTGACCGTAATATCGAGGATGTGTTAAAATAGCTTTCCACTCGGAAGACCTCGAGTTCCGCGCGCGGTGATGCTGATAAGAAACTGACCGCTGAAAAACGGACGTGTTGAGTTATGAAAGTGGCTGACGTGGAGGATACACAAAATTCTTTCCTATAGTCACTTGATATTTTGTGATTTTTGTACAATTCGCGCGTTTTATATTTCGCGCGCGAACCGAATAAGGAGATCAACGCCGAGAGAGAGAACTTCGCTCGTTTTCGGTGAAGCACGATTCAATTGAAGCGTTTTGCAGAATTATCGCTTTGCCGTAAGTCAATTAAAAAAAAACTTTATTAACTTTCTTGCTTCCCCCCCTTCCCGTTACACTCTTCATTAAATTATTATTCTTCTTTTTACGTATAAATCGAATAGTAAGAAACTGTATGTTGCACAATTGCACTTTTCCTTTTCAATCTTCGTTGTACGGAGACATGTAGATGAAAAAGTGCACGAGCTGCGTATTATCATTTATATTTTACTTTCAACAATTTTGATTGATCTAATTGACATTTATATCGAATTATCTAACGTGCTTAATGATGATTCTTTCATTTTTAGTTTGCGTAACAGATAATATTTAGATATATTCGAAAGTTTGCGTAACCGATATATTGAAAGAGACAATATACGTAACGGATATATTGAAAGAGAATAAACGCGTGAATAAAGTTACATAATACATATCCCTGTTCCAAATTTAATAGAAATCGCCTTTAAAGAAGTACTATTGGGATTGAAAATTCAAAAAATACACAACAAAAAAAAAAAATATATAATCTGATATTAATTTTATATAAACAAAATTTAAATAAAATACTAAAATTTAAATAAAGTATTGAATATTTTTGAGAAGAGTGCGTTGCTTCGTTTGTTTATTCAGTAAAAAATTTGACGTAAATTTTTTAGATGTTTTCAAATGTCAGTGTTTTAATGTATGTACCGATGGAAAAACAATTATATACAAAAAACTAGTTGTTAAAGATTAATTGGCTTCACAAATTTTCAAATGTGAAATGTGAAATAGCGAGACAAAAGAAGAAACCTACGTATTTTTGTGTATATTTTACTGCGATATAATTCTTTTGAAGAAGACCGAGACAAAGTATTTTCGAACTTAACTGTCAGATCAGCGGAAGCCGAAAGGAAGTCGGAGGGCCGCTCTTTGCTTTGAAAGAAAATGCCGGCGTATCATTTTTATTATGAAGCTGGTGCGTTATATTCACCGTAAGACGAACCGCTCGTCGTGTTCCCTGGAGTTTTCCGAAGAAAAATCCTAATCATCCTCCCGCTCGATTGCCTTCCTGCGAGGGGCAGAGAGGTCGGAGCAATTTGTTCTTATACGAGCCCTCACGCGTCCGAGAAAATCGCAATATAAAGATGTGCGCGCACGTTCCTTTAATTGCGTGCCGTGATTTCGATAACTTCAAAAGCGGTGTCTTCTAGCGTGTCTTCTAGATAACGTTCAGATAACACAACGCATACAAAGATAACAGAGATGTTCTATATTAATACAACTTCTATATTTATATCGTTGGCAAAATTAGATGGGAAAACATGTCGCTCTTGAGAGAAAATGCCAACGTAATGAACGATTCCGGTTCGCAGGAGAACCCGAAATAAATACAAAAATAGAGAGATGTGTTCGTCGCGCGAAAAATAACGGTGTCCAGGGTGTCATGACAGTTTATCGCGGCGCTATGTGTGTGTGTGTGTGTGTGTATGCGCATTTCGTCACGCGAAATTTGTGTTTGGGGAATATATTTCGCGCACTGTTTTTATTGTGCATTTTCAAAAAATCTCACCGAGAAAATGTTTTTCCATTTCCGACGATGCAACGTATTGAATGTTCGTTTTTCAGTCACTAATCTCGTTAGAAAATATCGACAAACTCTCTTAATTTAATGTTTATTATATATATATATATTTTTTTAGATATTATTTATATACAATCTGAAAACTTGTGATATGCGCAGGTCGAGCTGTACCTTTTGTAGAACTCACGGTGGCTCATGCATCCGTGCTGACGATTCTCGCAATTTCTTTTGAACGGTATTACGCCATTTGCGAACCTCTGCGCGCGGGGTGAGTTTAAAAAAAAAAAAAAAAAAAAAACAATATATAATTAAGAGTCTCGCGAGCGCGATTCACTTAATGCGATTTATTTATGTTTACAGGTACGTGTGCACAAAAGCGAGAGCAACGTTTCTTTGTTTTGTGGCGTGGGTGACGGCGGCAGTTTGCACCAGGTGATACAAAAAGTTGAAATTATAAAAAAAAAATTGAAAAATATTGACAAATAATTCATTTACTGCTCTTTTACCTCTCGCGGTCGCTTATATATATTCGCTACTTATCTCTTCCCAAACCTCGTCTTCTTCTCTTCCCTCTAGCTAACGCATGCCGCGCTTTTTTCACTCCTTCTCCCTTCCGTATCTTCCCGCTCGCTCTGCCACGTCATTCTCACGTGACCGTAATACAAAGACGACCACCTACGGGAATTCATTAATCTCTTCTCGGTGAATTCTAAGACGTGTGCGGGATATGGTTGGTCGATCTTAATTAAAATCTGTTTCACATAATAGAATTTTGTAATAGGTTTATTGCACATCAGCATTTTCTTTGACGCAATTTTTGTCTCAACTTTGTTAAAGACTCAATCAAACAATTTTATATTTAATCAATTAAGACTTAAGGCTCGTTGAAATTGTCAACAAGAAATATATAAGGCCTTACGAGCCATTCGCAGGATGTTTGTGCGGAAACTGTGCGTGTATATATATATATATATATATATATATATATATATATACACACATGTAACGAATTCTACTTGTAAATTTTTACAAGTGAGTGTTTTTTTAATTGAAATCTCAATTCTTAAATTCATACGGGATGCTGGATTTGCATCTCACATATGAAAGACCCCGGATACCCCCCTAACTAATCTTAAAAGTAGAGTAATTTTTAGTAGTAAAGTTTTTTTTTTTTTTTTTTTTTACAAATAGAATTCGTTACATGTGTATATATATATATATACACGCACAGTTTCCGCACAAACATCCTGCGAATGGCTCGTAAGTCCTTATATATTTCTTGTTTATACTTAATGTTTCAACGCAGTTTTGTAATTCACCGTTCTTTGTGTTGTACGAGTTTGACTGAGTTTTCAATAATCCTTTTTCTTGAAAAATTTTATTATGTCATTGTGTGTGTTTTTTTTTTTTTTTTTATTATTATCGCGAAAGTTTTACGACTTGTAAGGATTCAGCGACCAGCCGCTCTGCGAGATTATCAAACTGCGCGTCCGATGTGCGGCTGTGATATGTACGTTTCCAATTTTGCTTGTTCTCAAAAGTTCGGAGTAACTTTAACGCTATATGTAAATTATGGACACAACTTGGTTATCGATTAACGGTTTTGTTTGGATTAGATCACACGCTGAAAGTTTCGTCGTTAGTTAACTCCGGCTGTGAAATTTAAGATACTATAAATCCGGTATGCAACACTTCTTGCGGGTTATCTCTTGATACGGTATCCTCTTTCTTACTTGCGATATTGATATTGTTGTTTACTCTCTCGGGAGAGAAAAGTATGCACTGAATAATATCGTTAATGAACGCTTTACTTTTTCTCTTCAAGAAAAAGAAAACGAGCGATTGGTTGCAAATATATCGTAATTATTATTATTATTATGATAACAAAATATATATATGTATATATTCGTAAAATGTAAATACACACGCGTGGCGCAATAGTTTTGCACGTGTATGTCTGCATAAAGCTTGTAATCAGTTTACGATGTGCATTATGCGGTCAGCATGCGGAAAGCAATAGTTACCGCGGATTGTATTCGCGTAGATGCACGTGTGTCGCGCGACAAGCTGTTCATTGTCTCTCTCTTGCTCTCTGTTTGTCCTCTTGCTTGGATTTCGATTTAATACACCTGTTTTGTGTATAGTGTTTTTAAAATATAATTACGACACACTCGCACACGTGACGATTAATTGTCATCGTAAAGCGGTGCTCATTACGTGAACTTATCTCAGATGAATAATCGAGCTCTAGAATTTTGTTCGCACAGGGAGGTCAGAATGCAAGGAGAAAAAATATTTGCTGGAATAGCGAGGAGAAGATCAGTTATCGCTGTTATGGCCAGCGAGAAAAAGTTGTTAATTAATTTTTTGTTTTGCCAACAAAACGTTTTCGTTGACGAAGCAAACAATTCGGTGTGTTCTTGCTGAATAGATCGCGAGATCTTCTTATCTTTTTGCGTGTCACAAATTAAAGTGGTGTGTTAAAAACACATTTCGCTCTGACGTGCCGAACGTGCGTAGGAAACGGGATAGCGGGATTAAGTTCGTCGGCTTAGCCTCGCGAGATGATGAATTACACAGATTTGTCACATTCGCCTAGCACGCGCGCGTCTATGTCCCAATTGCGATAAGCATATTGATTTCACGAAAACAAACCGCGACTCTTTGTTTTGTGAAAGAGGAAGCGAACCTGTTTCAGACGGCTTATTAATTTTTCAGAATCGAGTTGTGTGTGCTGTTTACTCAACTTCCGTCGTATGATGCAATTTTGCTCCGAGAAAGAAAATGTCACGTCATGTTTTTCTTTCATACTGCGTCGCACAATTTCTCAGTATTTTACTTAAATGTGATGTACTTTGGAAGAGAGAAAAGAGAAATTCTAATACGTAACGAGACGGAAATATTTTTTTTGTTTCGGATCACTCGCCGTCGGGAGATTATGAAACGGTAACGAGACATCTTCTGTGACACATGAATGAGTCATCACTTTTGTTCCGTTTCATTTTGAACGACGAGAAGTCGTTAACGAAGCACAGTATCGAAGATACTGTGTCATCCGTATCCACCACGTGTACACAAAGCGACGTGTACTGCGCTCGCATTACGCCCCGCGCAATATAGTACGTGTCACGCGCGGAAAGACACTTTCGGCGTTTCTACGAGAGTAAGAAATTTCCCGCGACGAAGAAATCGCCGAATTTCCGCGCGCGGACCACAAAGAGAGACAACGTTGCGCGGGCAACGTAATTGGATCCCTTCCTACCGCGCAAGGTGCACACGTGCATTCCGACGACGTATAAAGCGGAATCGCAAACAGACGGTGCGTATTACACGAGTGAAGATCGTCGTCGCGACGCGCAAGAATTCGCTTCTCACGAGCTGTATCGCGAATACCACGTCAAAGAAAATCAAATGTCGCGAGACACAAATTCGTCGCAAAATGAAGACTCGTTTTCTTCGAGCCACATCAAGCCGTCAAAGGATATATTATTGCAAAAGATATTCGCGCTTTGCCGCAAACCGTGACAACAATGATGTGATTCCACACGGTGAACACAACCTGTCATCGCGATGACAGCTAATATATACGTCTTACAAATCGTATATAATACACATATGAAAAATGTCAGAAAAAACGCATGAAAATCAAACTCGAAAAATAAAAGAAAGAGAGGAGAATGGAAAAACAACACGTGACTAAAGTCACGAGACAAGGAGAATTAGTAAAACACCATGTGACTAAAGTCGCGTGACAGGGAAAAGAGTAAAAAAGAGAATATTATATATAATATATTTTTCCATTATATATAATATATATTCTCTTTTTTACTCTTTTCAGAGAATATTATATATATTATATATAATATTCTATATCTATATATATTACACACAAACATATATATATCGTAGTCACGTGACCAAAGTCAGTGACCCCGCCAAGGTCGCGCGGTCGAGGTCAGTGACCCCGCCAAGGTCGCGCGACCGAGGTCAGTAACCTTACGGTAGTATATATATAATATATATAATTTTGTAAAGATATGTGTATGTAGCTTCAAGAGTTTTTATAAACAAATGTATTCTGGCTATTGAAGCAAAACACTGTTGTTGATGTGTGAATATTTATAAATCAGTTTATTGAAACTTAGTAGCATTAACGCTTTCGACCTTGTATTAGGTTCTTCTCAAATGCATTTCTACATTTGTTTATAATATATATAATATGCAATATATAAAGTATATTATACATATATAATAAATTATATGTATATAATATATATTATTTAAAATGTTATATATATAATATAAATTACAGTCACGTTACTTTAGTCACGTGTTGTTTTTCTACTGTTTCCTGTCAAGTAACTTTAGTCACGTTTTTAATTTTCTTCACGTATACGACAAACTGTCAAAATCGCTTTTCTGTCAAAAACGCGCACTTCGCGGTACATATGGATTTTTTTATATAGGAGGAAAAAGAGGAGGAGAAGGAGAAGGATACGCGCTTTTGAAGCGCGCATTGAAATGCTCGCGAGAAGATCGGCGCCGAGCCGTTAATGATCTTATTCTTCCGGCGTTTCCAAGTGTTAGATTTTCCGGCGAGAGAATATTACACATGTAAAGCAACAGATACGTTTGAGATGCTGTCGCTTAATGCTGCGGCGGCGGCGACGTGTCGAAAGAGAGACGGCCGGCGGTTTTTCATAAAAACCTAGAGCAAAGAAGAGACCACACACGAAACGTGGGCAGAGCGAGCTTTTATCAAGGATCAGGCGCGTCTAAACTAGCGCGATGAATGAACGCGGTTTCGCCAATATCCGCGAGTGCGCACAGCCCGATGTTCGTCGCAATTTTCTTTATAAAAAGGATTCTCGTCAAGTTCGTTGAAAGAGAGACCGTCTGATATATTCGTCGCGTAAATTGCGAACGAGATGATGTTCTTTTCTCGAGCGTGAAACAGCTAATAATAATACACGTGGATAATCGTGCAGTTAAAGATGCGCATACAAACGGCGAATCGCACATTACACTGAGATAACGCCAATAAATACTGAATATTCGTCATCGTTCGTTTGTGTTTAAACAAAAAATGGTAAAATCAGAGCATACACACACACATTCTTGAAATTGTGTTATTTCTGCGTTGAAAACACAACAACGCGCGTCGTTATATTTCATATTTGCGCAGTTTATTTGTTTCAATCACGAAGATTCGGTAAAAATTAGAAACTCGTGCGCGTGTGAGTAAAAAAATATGAAACTATATTAATTATGTATTAAAACTATATAAAATATGAAACTATATTAATTACGAGAAACATCTTAAGCTGTCCGGATCGATTGTCAAGTAAAAAGTTGTAAATTATTGTTGACAGAAGAGTATACACGTGTGTTTATTTGCGCGCGTCTTTATATAAAACAAAAATATTTTTTTC